CAAAGTAAGAGCGGTCGGGGCAGCCCAAATGTTAATTTGGGCCTAACCTGCTAAAAATAGCAGTTATGAAAGAATGGCGTCCTAGACCCACTGGAGGGTGACCCACACGGTTAGTAGCCCAGCTATATGAATATTAACTTTATAAATAAGTGATAGAATGATTGGAGAAGAATACGAATGCCTATGGTTCCATCTTTAGCATTATTAAGCTAAATAATGGGAGTAGGGTTCTCTTTTATAGTTATACATCATATAAATTATTGGGATCATCCTACACATATTAGAGATCAATAATATCATGTAGAAGGTTGACTTGATCTAAATAAATGAGGATGAGTACAAAAAGTACATCTTATGACAAAAGACAAAAAACAATAAGATCCATCTTTCCACTTTTGGAAGTATTGGTAGATATCTTGGACCCCAAATTAATTAGGGTCACTTGGAGACCACCCCACACCTTCCTAGTACCTGAAAAATAAGTACAATAATGTTAGAATCGGGGAGGGGGTCAGACATAATAGACTTGAGAGCTGCACATGACAAAAGAGATCAAAGTGAGACCCCACCCATGTCTAAAAACATCTCATGGAGTCCATATCAATTCATTTCACTCCACACAACCTATCCAACTTATTTGAGGGGTCTTAGACACCTTCCCCTTGTTGGGTGTGTCTCGGAAAAACGAAGAAATATTAATTAATAAAAATAATTAATTAATTAATTAGCCAAAGAAAAAACAGAAAGAGATGGGACAGAGTTTAGCCAGAGCTCGTGCTACACACGATGTCCTTAAAACGTATTCGTCGCCTCCCACGGTGTTAGGAGCGTTGCAATGACCGTCTCCCAGGATACGGTGGCTAATGAACTAACGTTTGAGCACACAAACGAGAGTTCCGGCGAACAGGAAGAAAGGCAGAACACTCAAGAATTTTCGGAGTAGCTGGAAGTGTTTTAGAGCTCAAAAATACGTGAGGAATGTATTGTGTGTTGTGTTGTTGTAAACCACCTGCCAGCTATTTATAGGAGGATTTGTTGTGTGTTAAATGTAGTGTTAATGGACCTGAACGTTGGACATCAATGATCAGTCCGTTAGGCATTGAATGATCCATAAACTGCCCATTTAATGCATCATTAAAAGACAAGAACGGTGGGCATTTATTGCTGTAACGGACCAGAAGACCTCGAGCGCCTCTGTTGCGAACAGAAGACCTTGAGCGTCTTTGTTGCGAACAGAAGACCTCGAGCGTCTCTGTTGCGAATAGAAGACCTCAAGCGTCTCTGTTGCGTAGCAGTTCTGTTGGGATTTGATCGTGACCCCCCCCCCCCCCCCCCCCCCCCCCCCCCGCGCGCGTAAGAGAGAGCATTTACCTCTATGAATCTTAACTCCTTAAAAGAGGCTTCCCTTTATAAGGGGGTGAAAATCCCTTGAGTGTTTTCCGGTGTGGTATAAAACACACTAGAAACTCATCATTTTCCCAGGTTTTCCATTTCAACGAGTGAACTTCGAGAATCAATTTCTCATTCACCCGTTATCCGTTTTGAGCGTACCATATATCGAATTGTAGCCCTTAACAAGGACAATCCGAAACCACTTTGACCAGACCCAAATCGGAAGTGGACCCCACTCAAATAGTTGCCCTAAAATGACCATTTAATGTAATTTCTAACACATTTTTTCAACAATCCCCCACATGAATGAAAATTGATTTTCGAGACTTAAAAGGACACGAGGATAGGAGGACACGTTGTGTTCACCGGATGATCCTTGCATACGGAGAGGTAGGTTTTATCCTGTGAACCTTCCGTTGTAAAGACACGTTTATTTACAGGCTGTCTAGTAGACTCGATGTCCTTGAACTATACTGCCGTCATGTAAACATTGACTTATCTTTACACAAGAACCTTCCAACTTTGTTCCGTTCTCATGGGTGTGCGCGTTTTGGCCATGGGTCACCGTCCTGGTTTTGCAAGAGTTTCTAAAGAATTGAGCCTTTACAGTTCTCCTTTGAAGCGGCCCTCTTCTCTCTCACATAGGTGATTCTTTCAAAGGTATCCCGCATACTCTTCCAATGTTATCGAGTAGATCAACATTTTAGAATCATTAAAGCAAACGTTTTTGCTAACCTCGTGCGGGAGTCACTATTTTAACGAGGAGTGGGTAGGAGTCCGGGACCCCCACAGTGACCATCCTTCGCTCTATAATTTAGTTGTTCCTTTTGAACCTAGGACCAACTAGGTTGGGTATCCACTATAGAACTTTTCAATTCACGAGCTTTAGTCCCATTCCTCATGACAACTTCTCCAACAATTCTCTATCCAATGTCTTGGTTAGCGGATCCGCTATGTTATCCTTTGAGTTCACATAGTCAACAGTGATAACACCCGTTGTGAGGAGTTGTTTAATGGTGTTATGTCTACGATGAACGTGTCTAGACGTACCATTGTACATGTTGCTTTGTACCCTTCCAATTGCTGCCTGACAATCGCAATGTATGCATATTGGAGGGACAGGTTTTTCCCAACTAGGAATATCCTCGAGAAAATGGTGTAGCCATTCAGCCTCTTCAGTGCACTTATCCAAGGCTATTAGCTCAGACTCCATCGTGGATCTAGCTATTAACGTTTGTTTTGAGGATTTCCATGACACGGTTGCACCTCCCAAAGTGAAAACATATCCACTTGTGGGCTTTGAGTCCTTAATGTTGGATATCCAACTAGCGTCGTTATACCCTTCATGTACAGCTAGATATCTTCCATAGTGCAGTCCAAGGTTTTGGATTTTACGTAAATACCTCAAAACCCTTACTATTCCCTTCCAGTGTTCATCACCGGGGTTGCTAGTATATCTACTTAGCTTACTAACCACACCAATATCAGGCCTGATACAACTCATTAGATACATCAAGCTTCCAATAATCCTAGCGTATTCTACTTGAGAAATACACTCTCCACGATTTTTGGTAAGTTGTACGTTTTTATCTAATGGAGTCCTTGCCTCTTGATAATCATCCTTATTAAATTTCGTAAGGATTTTATCAACGTAATGGGATTGGCTTAGCGTAAGACCGTCTGGTCCCCTAATTTTTTTAATCTCAAGGATTAAATCGGCCAGCCCCATATCCTTCATGCCAAATTTAGAATTTAACATGCTTTTGGTAGAATTAATCATTAGATTATTGCTACACACGATGAGTATATCATCCACGTATAAACATAAAATGACATAGCCTTCTACCGTGCTCTTCACATAGACGCATTTGTCACTTTCGTTTATTTTAAACCCATTAATTAACATAGCATGATCGAACTTTTCGTGCCACTGTTTAGGGGCTTGTTTCAATCCATACAATGATTTAATTAATTTACACACTTTCCTTTCTTGGCCAGGAACACGAAAGCCTTCGGGCTGTTCCATATAGATTTCTTCGTGTATATCGCCATTTAGAAAAGCGGTTTTTACGTCCATTTGATGAACTTCCAATTTCCTCAATGCGGCAATTGCTAGTATCATCCTAATGGAATTTATTCTCGTCACAGGAGAATACGTGTCAAAGTAATCATGGCCCTCACGTTGCTTGTATCCCTTGATTACAAGTCTGGCCTTGTACTTATCGATGGAACCGTCAGGTTTCATTTTTCATTTAAAAATCCACTTGGATCCCAAAGGTTTATTTCCCGGAGAAAGATCAACCAATTCCCATGTGTGATTTTTAAGGATAGAATCCACCTCACTTTTGATGGCTTCTTTCCACATAGGATCTTCGGTAGACGTCAAGGACTCACGGCTTTCGTATAAGTCTGTGGTTCATTTTCTACCAAACATGTTAGAAAATCCGATTCATTTTCTACCATACATGTTAGAATATCCGAGTCAAATTCTACCAAGTAGATGAGAAAATCCGGTCCGAAGGATTTTTCAACTCTAGCACGTTTTGCTACGTCTGGGTTCGGGTTTTTCTCCGAACCCCTCGCTAGTATTTTCCATAGCTACGTCAATTGTTCGTTTTGACGTGCTTGGTCCTTTATTGGACTTGCATGGGAATACATCTTCAAAGAATGATGCATTCCTTGATTCAATTATTGTGTTTTTATGTACACCCGAATTATTCGAATCGTACACTAAAAACCGATAAGCACTACTATTTTGTGCATATCCAATAAAAATACAATCCACCGTTTTTGGACCTATTTTTATTTTCTTAGATGTTGGTACAAGCACCTTAGCAAGACACCCCCACACTTTCAAATATTGATAGGAAGGCCTAGGGGTGGACTCGGGTCCGGGCCGGGTCCGGGTCGGGCCTAGGCCCGGGCGGGCCGGCGGTTCAAGAATGGTGGACCCGGGACCGGCCCGGGTAGCCACCGGGTCCGGAAGGTCCGGGCCGGGCCGGTCCGAGCCTCCGGTTTGGAATTTTTTTTTTTGCTTTCCTAATCCCCCCCTCACCCCCCACCCTCCCAAACCCATCCTACCCATCAAGCCCAACCCGGGTGGAACCCCAAAAATGAAAAATAAAAATAAAAAAAAAAATCAATTTGGCCCGGGCCCGGGCCCGACCCGGCCGGGCCGGTTCACCAAAATTGAGACCCGAGCCCGGACCCGCCCTACCCCCCGGGCCTAGGCCCGACCCGGACCCGGACCCGAGAACCGGGCCGGTCCCGGTCCCGCACAGTAGCGGGCCGGGCCGGTCCACGGGCCGGGTGGCCCGACCCGAGTCCAAGCCTAGGAAGGCCGCCTACCTATTTTGGAATTTCAAACTCCATTTACTCCTATTTTGGGAAATCTCCCTAATTTTTTCTTCATTTTATCAATAAAATATATTTTAAATAGAATTTTTAATCAATTCAACCGATTCTGCCATAGTTTCATCAATTTCAAAAGACTCACTAATTCAATCAATTTTAGTGTTCCATACAAACTCGATGTTTCAACTTGGGTTTGGTAATCGGGGGTTTTCCGGCGCATCGCAAATCTTGGGGGCAAGTGCAAAAGAGAACAAGAGTAAAAGGATAAGAAACATGTTTCTCAAAATTGAATAAAAATGGAATGTCAAATCTGTTATCTGTTATACAAAAGCAAAAGAGCAGTAAACATTCCAATTTCCAAGTAGATGCAGAACCGCAGAAGTTACAGAAAGCTTTACATAGTACAGAACCAAAAGAGCAAATGCCTCCCATCCGCTATCAAAACATTGTTTACTACACTCGTCAATCAGTAATGGTATCTAATCTTACAAGGAACTAATTGCACCTGGGGCCTATATAAAAAAAATCAACAGGGAACCAAATTTCTGCAGCAATTGTCTAAACAGCTGCAGCTGTTCGTTCTCAAAGGATGCATACATTCAGTCACATTTGATGTTCTTGTATATCCTCCTAACAAACAAACTGGAGCCAAGATGTCCAACAGCACCTGAGATTATCAAGCCCAGACTGTCACAATCAACATCAACCTAACAGAAGGGCTAAAACAACCAGAACAAAGATATACTCTATATAATTCTTTTTACAAAAAGAAAATGTTGAAAACCTACCACAAAGGATCCCCAAGCCGAGGCAGAACATCATAGTGTATCCAAAGTAAAAGCTGGTTTGAAAGAAGCCAGTCATCTTAGTCTTGATGTGATAGTAATATATAGAATATAGGTAAACATAAAGGGCAGTGGATGCAGCAGAGAAGAATGAGGTCCACTGCCAATGATAGTTCTCGGCATTAAGCAAGAAATACGTGCCCACAATAGTCACACATACTGTGACAATGATCAGTATTATAAAAACAAGGAGCATAAAGCCATAGACGTAATAGACCTGTCAGGAAAAGAAATGGAGTGTTTAATGAGTGTACACGTCCCTAGCAAAACAACTGTAGATCTTGTGCAAGTCAAGAACGGTGATGAAAAGACTCACCTTGTAATTCCAAAAGGACGTGAAGACGAAGTACATTTCAATAAAAATGCTCCCAAACGGCAGCAGCCCTCCCATCAGAGAGACAATAGATGGCTTGAGATACCATTTTTTCTCAGGTATAGGACGTGGGATGGTCTTTACACGGCAAGGATTGTTTGGAGCACCATTCCAGTTTCTTCCAAGAACAGTACCAAGAAGAGCGAGGGGGAAGGAAATGAAAGCCCAAATGACAAAAACAACAACCATTGTACCAAAGGGAATAGCAGCTAAAGATCCATAAGATACAGCAATGGTGTTTAAAAGGAAACCAATCCCAAAGCACATAAAAGGAAAAAGTGATGCTGTCAGAAACATCGACTTCATCCAATTTTTACCTGTTAAGATCCCCATTACGTCTGCGTCAGATCGGATTGTGTGTGTGTATTATATCAATGTGTGTTAAATTATTAATTTTGATAATTATAGCAGCATGGTCAAATTGTAATGGTTCCCAACAATAGAAAAGAAATATCAACTTACCACCATTACGTGAATACATTCCACCACTCACATAACCCGAAATGAAAGATGTAAATGCATAACACACAATAAAGGTTGTAATAATTGATCCTCTCCTGAACCATAAATAGAAAATGAAGCACAATATCAGAAGCGCTACAAGAACAGAGAAGAATCTTTATACAAATGGTAATACAGTAGATAATAACATCACTGATAACAGTAGAAACAGGTAGCTTAGATCAGAATAACACAGACAAGGTTGGATATCCTCGAGGTTTAATGCATTATGCTTGAAAGTGAAAACCTAGGTATGTGGGTTCAATGGGATTTAGGAAATCCTGGTTGCAAGCACAGTATGATAACAGACAATGGGAAAGCAACACAAATAAGTGCAAAAAAAATATTAGTAATTCCTTCACAAGAACATGTCGCGGACATACCCTACATAGAGCATTCCAACAATTACCAATATAATGACAAGGAGAACAAGCATTGCAAGTTGAGCCCCAGTGCCAACAACAGCCGAAAGCAAAGATAAATACTGTGGTGGTCGAAAAACATCACCGTGAACAAGTTTCCATCCAGACTCTTCATTTACATCCCGTTCCTGTGCTTGAGAAGTTAATAATAGGAATGTTTTATGCACTATGTCTTCTCATATGAAGAAATCAAACGGACACTATTGCAATATGCATCATGAAAAGCATTACCAGAGATTCCAAATCATCATCTTCACGTGCATACTTGGCATAATCGTGACGGAGAGTGCGCATCAGAATCATTGACACCAAGCCAGTGAGGAAAATAACCATCATGAACGAATTGAAAACAGAAAACCAGTGGATCTGTAAAACATACTGCTTAAGAGACCAATCAAGTAGAACAACGAATAGTTGCTAAGTGTATGTTGTCAACCTTTATCTTATAAACAAGGTTCTAACTTCTAAGAGATGTTTTTGTTTTTATTTTGGGTTTTATCTTAGATGATCAATTTTAAACATTTTACTCCTTTTAAACAAAGTCAATTAAGCATCTCTCCACCAAAGGATAAAGACTAGAGTTCACATGGATTGACGGGCAGGTCCCCAAATTCTGAGTGTAAAACTTCAGCAAAAATCACGACATTAAATTTCAAGATATTAAAGATGTTTTTAAAATAATGAGTCTAATCAAAATTATTTAATTATAACAAGGAAGGAGGGCTACTATTGTGCAGCCATGTTTTACCACTTGCCAGCTCTCACCCGTTTTTACCAGCTCTTAGAATGATTGAAATTCAATCACCGTTATCACACCAATATTGACTTCTAAGGCGATGACGATGACCATGGGAGCAAAACACCCACCCTGGCAGGTTAAACTTATCCCCCTGTCTCCCTCTTTCCACGGTTCATTCATTTCTTCTAAACTTGTTGAGCATACTATTGGGGAAAAGGAATAGTGATATAATAGAACTATTGCACTGTTAAATATATGCTTACAATTTACTCCCTGGGATGAGAACTTGACAGGATATGTTCTACGGATTATATGAAAAAGTACCTGGTGCTCAAAGAATGGGTAATCCAAGTAAACATCAAAACGATGTGCATAACTGATGTTAGTTGGGGTCCAACTGACTGAGTATGTCAAGTCCAATGTCTTTCCTTCCTCAAGGGGTTTAGGGCTCTCTTGTGAAAGGTTAACATGAATTATCTACAAAAGTAACATCTCAAACTCAGGAAGAGAAAAAGTACCACCACTTAAGTACTTAACAGTTGACACTATAGAGACAATTCATATCTACCTGGTTCCCATTGTACTTCACAAAAATGTTTTTATGTGTATACAACATGTGCTTATTATCTTGGTTTCTATCAGGAAGCACCTCACCAATGAAACCTGAAATTTTGTTCACAACATCATTGTTAATCTCACTTATGATTCAACTTTGCAATGTACACATTAAAAGATAGAGAGAAAGGTAAGGAGGAAGTTATTAGTTGTTTGCATACCCCATAACGGCAAATCATCTGGTGGCAAAATAGGGAAGCCATTATGCAGATCGGCACAGTCAGTTACGGAACACAGGAAAAAGTCAGTGATGAAAGTGGCAATAACAATCATGTCACAATTAATTATAGGTGGTTCTAGGGAAACTCTTGTAATTCAGGATGCAAAGAATACTCGGTATATGTAAGAGGGCCAGTGTGTATACCCATGAAAAACTCAAGCCAATATGAATTATCAATTGCATCCTTAAACTGTTTAACCTTTGCTGGATCCAACTCAAGTCCACAAACAGAACTCCTATCCACATTTCCTAACAAGCAAATAAATAAACATTGTAAATAAAGTATTAGGGTGAAATAAACATGATATAAATAAAATTGTGATTTAACATACTCTTAAACTTTATGTCAATTTTACTATCAATAAGCTCATTTCCCCCGAGAACCTCTCCAAGGCCGCCCCACTTGTGTGCAGCACTGCCAGGTGGGTGACAAAAGGGGAGGCTATAGTAGTTGTATGTCTCTTGTGGATTATTATATGGCCCAACCTTGTTTACCCATAATATGACAGGATCATTTTCTTGGTACTGCAGAATAATTCGGAAACAAAATTAGTCGCAACAAATTACAGGATGGAACAGGAAAGTAAAATTTACAAAACCAAATCCATTTTCAATCAAAAGCATAAGAAAAATAGGATGTGCCTACTGCCTATTCCATGAACCAATGCCAAAGACATGAAGAGAAGAAAGTTTATTCCATATATTACTAAAGAAGGTAGTAGTCAATAATGAGTGTGAGTTTACATTGAAGTAACACTGTAACAGTAATTATAGTTTAGCATAACTCCTCCGCTGACAATACACTGAATGCCAACATAGAAATCTGTTTAACTACCAAAAACAGCTCTAAAATGATAGAACACTGGTAAGTCCAACTCAGAACACAGTAGATTCAATAGGAAATTCACAAGAAACAAGATTAGAAGAGTTTATTGAAATGCGGAAGAAGAACAGAATGTATACAAGCCTTGGACGATTTGAGATGCCCAATCTCCCAGTTCCAAGTCCAACCGAAATAACAGCCTACTATTCTTAGCTCATATACTTCTATTTATAGTAGTTTGTCCACGCAGGGATCAATATGACAAACAGACTACTTAGTTATTACTAACTACGTTTCTCCTTCTTCTTTGGTAAACTTTGTTATAAAACTGAACTGGTATGGAGTGTCTGTTGATAAAACGAAGAGACATCATTAATCTAGGATTTATTTTCCTTATTATTACTGTAATTATGTATCTTTAGTGCTTCAGGTTGTATTTAATAGCTGCTGTCTTTTCAGTTCTCAATCATTTATGTTTAGTATTTAGACAGTCACCTAGGGTGCTGAATAGACTCTCTCAGGATTCCTATCTGTATAAATAGCTTATGTACTTCTTGTAAATGAATTCAAGGGAAATAATATTCAGAAAACTTCATGGTATCAGAGCTTGGTTTCGTCTAAGCCTTTTTTGAGTCAGTCTATCACCTCTCCAACGGTCATTTTTTGGGTGTCTCTACCCTTCTCTCTCTTTAACTCCCGGTGGAGTCTCTTCATCAAGGGTTTTATCATGTCTAAAGAAGCCGAATCAGCCTCAAGTAACCTTGATCACTCGACCATTGTTTCAGCTGCTACTGCAGCCGCGTTTGCTCTTCGAAACCAGAAATTTGATCTCCCTTCTATCCCGCCATCTTACCGTCTCAATGGCAGGAACTATCTTGGGTGGTCAAAGCTGGTTTACACTCTTCTACGTGGCAAAGATCTTGAAGATTATCTCACTGTCTCTACCCCAGAAGAAGGAGAGATTGATGCTGCTATTTGGGAGAAAACTAATGCCAACGTATGGGTCTGGTTATGGGACTCTATGGATCCCAACATTAGCAGTACATGTTTATACATGGACTCGGCTAAAGAAATCTGGGATTTCATACAGCAGTCCTACTCTGTTGCTAAAGATGGCGCTTTTGTCTATGACTTATGGCTCAAAACAACGAATCTTAAGCAAGATTCACAATCTGTCACAGATTATGCAACTGACCTCCAACGACGATGGTCTGAACTTGACCCGTATCAAACGATGAAGTGGTCGAATGCTGCAGATGCAGCTCTTCACAAGAACTATATAAATCAGCAACGTCTATATTGCTTCTTGTCTGGTTTAAATCCCGAATATGATCAGACTCGGGGTCAAATTCTTGGCATTACTCCTCTGCCTTCCATATCTTCTGCCATTGCCACTATCAAACATGAAGAGAGCAGACGCAATATAATGATGAATACAAATCTGATTGACAGTACAGCTCTTGCTGCCAAATCTACTCCTTCAGATGTTAAGGAAACTAAGGGTAGTAAGGGAGGAAGATGGTGTGATCATTGCAAGCGGTCCAACCATAATGTGGATACATGCTGGAAACTTTATCCTCATCTACAGAAAGAAAGGAAAAGCCAAGACAGACGTGGAATGAGTGCTGGACGTGCCAACTCAGTCACTCCCACTATTGTTGAGAGCTCTACTAATCTTTGGCCCATTTCCCAGGAGGAATTAAAGCAAATTCGTATGATGTTACAGTCTCTTAATAACTCAAATGGTTCTGGTCATAGATCTTTGGCCCTGCAAGGTAAAACCTCTACTATTTTTTGTCTTAATGCTTCGGAACAGAGTTCACAATCCCAATGGATATTAGACTCAGGTGCCACATCTCATATGACTGCCATACCCTCTTTACTCTCTAATTATCATCCATGTTTTACATCCACGCACATTACTACTGCTGATGGGACACCTACAAAGGTTGCGGGACTTGGTACGGTTGTTTTTTCTGAAAAATTAAATCTGAAAAACACCCTACATGTCCCAAACCTGGCTATGAACCTTGCTTCTATTTACAAACTCACAGTTGATCTTAATTGTGCTGCCATTTTTTTCCCTTCCCACTGTTTATTACAGGATCTACACACGGGGAGGACGATTGGAATTGCTAAACAAAGAGATGGCCTGTACTACCTTGATGCACTGTTTGTCTCCAAACCTCCACAAAAAGCTCTTACCACAATCACAGCCAATACCAACACTATTTGGCTTCACCACAAGCGTCTTGGTCATCCCTCTTTTCATGTCCTAAAACCATGTTTCCCAGTCTTTTTAGTAGTATTGATGTTTCTACATTTCAATGTGATGTCTGTGAACTTGCTAAACAGTCTCGTGTATCTTTTTCCAGAAGTAATACAATCAGTTGTTCTCCTTTTGATATTATACATAGTGATGTCTGGGGTCCTGCTCCAATTGCTAATATATCTGGTGCCCGGTGGTATGTTACATTTATTGATGATTGTACACGTTTTATGTGGGTTTTTCTGCTAAAAAACAAGAGTGAGGTGAGTTCCATCATTCCTATCTTTTGCAATATGATTCATAATCAGTTCTCCGCCACAATAAAACGCTTCCGCACTGATAATGCTCTTGAATACTTCAATCAAACCGTTTCCTCTTATTTCCTCTCAAAAGGCATTGTTCATGAGTCCTCTTGTCCGTACACACCACAACAGAATGGCACAGCAGAAAGAAAAAATCGCCATCTCCTAGACGTCAGTCGGGCTTTATTGTTTCAATCAAATATGCCTAAACACTATTGGGGGGAAGCCACACTCACAGCATGTCATCTCATCAATAAAATTCCCAGTCGGGTACTCCAAAATAAGTCACCCCTTGAATCTCTCCGTCATTTCTTTCCTCAAACCAGAATTTCTTCTGATCTTGATCTAAGGGTGTTTGGGTGTACTGCATTTGTTCATATTCCTCCACCTCATAGGGGAAAATTGGACCCACGATCTATTAAGTGTATCTTTCTTGGTTATTCTCCAACTCAGAAAGGATATAAGTGCTATAATCCTACAACCAGAAAGACATACACCAGTGCAGATGTGACCTTTCACGAAGACACACCTTTTTACACTCCTACTTCTCTCCCTGTATCCCAAGATACTCCACATCCTTCACCTCTGCCCACCTATACTATTACATCTTCTCCACCACATACAATCTCCTACCCTCCTAAGCCTTTACCACCAGACATCCCATCACCACCACCACCACATGATCATCCATCACCTTCCTTAGATGTGTCAGCAACCTCACCTACTTCCCAACAGTCTTCAACATCACCTGAACCTCAATCAAATACACCACCAGATCATCCCATTCCTACACCTACTAAATCCACCACTCATGACCCATCTTCTCCTCTACCAGTGACAAAAGTGTACTCAAGGAAAAACAGGTTCACTCCATTGTTGACGCATGACCAATTGGCTGACCCAGGTAATGTCTCTTCTTCTCCACCACCATCTCCGCCAATTGCTTTACGCAAGGGTGTACGTCAATGTACCAAAACACCTCTATACCCTCTTGCTAATTTTGTTACCATTGATAACTTCTCTCCTTCACATGCCTTGTTTGTTCAGAGACTTAATGAAATTCCCATACCCAACTCTGTTTCTGAGGCATTAGGAAAGAAAGAATGGAGGGATGCTATGCAAGAGGAAATTAGAGCTCTTGAAAAGAACCATACTTGGGATATTGTGACTAAACCTCCTGGGAGGCATGTTGTTGGTTGCAGGTGGATCTTTACTGTCAAATACAAGGCTGATGGATCTCTTGAGCGGTACAAAGCTCGTCTTATGGCTAAAGGATACACTCAGACGTATGGGATTGACTATCAAGAGACCTTTGCTCCTGTAGCTAAGCTCAATACTGTTCGTATCCTACTATCCTTGGCATCTCACTTTGATTGGCCTTTATTGCAATTTGATGTCAAGAATGCTTTTCTCCACGGTGACTTGCATGATGAGATCTACATGTACATTCCCCCAGGCTTTAATAAAACATCAACAAGAACCTCTACACATGTATGTCATTTAAAAAAAGCCCTCTATGGTCTCAAGCAATCCCCTCGTGCTTGGTTTGACCGCTTCACACAGGTTGTTCTTGCTGCTGGGTATAGTCAAAGCCAAGGGGATCATACTCTTTTTTACAAACACTCTCGCCCAAATGGAGTCACTATTCTTTTGGTATATGTGGATGACATCATTGTGACGGGTAATGATCCAGTTGAGAAACAACGTCTTGAGGGGCAGCTGAAATCCAAATTCGAGATGAAGTCTCTTGGCCCTCTAAAATACTTTCTTGGAATTGAAGTTGCTCGCTCATCTGAAGGCATCTTTATCAGCCAACAAAAGTACATTACAGATTTGTTAAATGAGACCGGTAAGAGTGCTTGTCGACCGGTTAATGCACCTATGGATCCTAATCACAAGCTTGGACTTGCTACTGATGAACCCAAGGTTGATTCATCAATGTATCAGCGCTTGTGTGGCAAACTTATCTATCTCTCTCATACTAGACCTGACATTGCCTATGCAGTTAGTGTTTTGAGTCAGTTCATGCATGATCCAAGGAAACCACATCTAGAAGCAGCCTATAGGGTTCTTCACTACCTAAAAGGAAGTCCAGGGCAAGGGATAATATTCAGGAAGGGTGGGCAATTAT